CTGGACATGTCCAAACCACTGTCCCTCCTCTGGACATGTCCAAACCATCTCAGTGTGTCCTCTCTAACTTTACCTCCCAGGTGTTCAACCTGTGCTGTACCTCTGATGAGCTCATTCCTGATCTTCTCCATCCTTGTCTCTCCTAAGGAGAACCTCAACATCTTCATTTCTGACACTTCCAGTTCTGTCTCCTGTCTTTTTGTCCATGTCTCTGTCTCCAGACCAGACAACAGAGCTGGTCTCACCACTGTTATAAACTTTCATGTTTACATGTTCCTGTTTTTAGTATCTTACACCGTTTTATAATGTAGCATGTTTTTTTTAATTTTATATCACTTTAATATATTTTTCATTTTATGTGCTTTCATATGAATTTATTGTTGTGTGTACCTCATTTATGGTTTTTGTTACAGCGGGTCTCTTAAATGAGTCCTCATGACTGAGACTAACTTGTGAATTTAAAAAAGTTTAAAATATCAAAGTTCATGCTCATTTTGAACCATGTTGTCCACGGCTGCCTCAAATGAGTCGGCGGGGGAGAGGGCGGACTCCAGAAACCATCTTAGCACCATCAAACTGGTTGATCCACCTTGAGATGGGACTATTTATAAGACTGGGTCCATTGCAGCTCCTCGGACTGATGGTGTTTTGGATGAAAGATGAAACGTTTCAACAAGATGAAACTATCCAGAGGACCCGACTTAACTTTGTTGTGTTTCTATGAGTAGCAGCGCACACGGGTCAGCAGCAGAGACAGACCTGCAAAAACAACAAAGGATGAAAACTTTACAGTAAATGAGAGAAAGGAACCATCCATTATCTTTACCCGCTTATTCCATTTTGGGTCACGGGGGTCGCTGGTGCCCATGTCCAGCAATCACTGTGCGAGGGGCGGGGGACACCCTGGACTGGTCTCCAGTCCATCACAGGGACACAAAGAGACAAACGAGACAAACAACCATTCACTCTCACTCACACCTAGGGACAATTTAGAGTTACCAATCAGTCTAACATACATGTTTTTGGTCTGTGGGAGGAAACCGGAGCACCCGGAGAAAACCCACGCATGCACGGAGAGAACATGCAAACTCCACCCAGAAAGGCCCCTGGACCGGGGTTTGAACCAAGGACCTGCTCGCTGAGAGGCAGCAGCTCTACCAGTTGCACCACCGTGCTGCCCCAGAGAAAGGAACCATTAAACTCAAATAAAAGTGGTAAAAAAGACAGCAAAGACGTGTTTTGAAGAATTCAGTGGTGAGTGAGAAATAAGAAGCGAAGAGAAGAAAATATTAATTATGGGATTAAAGTTTGGATAAAAAGGGACTCAACAAGAATACAAAAACACAATGTAGGTAAATCACTGAGGACAGGAGGAAACAACAGAACGTCGTGAATCTATGGAAACAGTCACTGTTAGAATAAAGAACAGATTAAAAAAAATTGATATATTTCAAAAATTAAAAAAAATATATTCAAATTATATTATTTCATAGAAAACCCAACAGATCACAAAAACTCAAGTCATCTGGACAGAAATACAGGTCTGTCTTGTAAATGAGTCCTCGTGGCTCAATGAGACTAATCTGTCTAAATAAAGGTTGAATGAAAAACAGAAGCACGTGGAGGAGTCAAGACCCCAGATCAGTCGGTGGCGGTAAAAATAAAAACCCACGAAGAAGAAGCAGGAGCTTCGGCCGTTAGGACCCAACACTGCCATTATTCTTTACTCTGTGTTTCAACCTTCAGTCAGAATGTCTTCGGTTGTTCTTCTGAGAGAGTTCATCGGTGAAAGACTGAGCGCTGCTGCCTCAGAAATCTTCTCCGAGTTTGAGAAGACGATCCTGCGGTACGAAGAAGAGCTCGACCGTCAGCGCAGACTGCTGGATGTCAGCTGGAAACCTGAGCTGAAGCTGCACAGAGTCGGTACGTAGCTCTGAACCTGCTCACACAACCACCAGGAGCTCCACTAGATTACACAGATTAACTTCAAAATGAACCTGGTGTTTAAGACGATATTGTAGCCTGATTAACTGGAAGAATGTGAGGTGGCTGCGTCTGTGCCTGATCAAAATGCTATAAATGCAGTGATTGAAAAATACAGATGAAGCATTCCTGTTGTCAGTAATAAAGTCTAAAAGTATTTCCATGTTAAATAGGATTTTTGGCATAAAGCAAAACAAACGTGTTTAAAATTAATAAAACTCGTTTTAAAGTGAACAAACCAGTGATCTCTCTCTCAATGTGTTTCTTCTAACTAAAGCAGTGATTTAAACGTGTTGGCTTGTGGTTGCGTTCATACTGACCAAACTACAAATTAAAACGATGTGATGAAGCAACTAACAGCTCGTTTAATCACAATTACAGAAGAAGAAGAAAAAACAGAGGCTACAGATTTTCACCGAATAGAGAAACTATTTTAATGAGCCAAAAAAAAGTTTTCACAAGTTTTACAATAAGAAGGAAAGACTAAAAAAATAATGACAAAATATCAGAGTTTTCCTCTTCCACCTTAATAATATTTATCCTTCAAAGGAGTTGGTCAGAAGTAGATTTCAAATTGAATGTGATAACTGTTATATATGTACTGAACTGCATTTCATTGTACTGTGAACCTCGCATTTGACAAATAAATACAACTTGAACTTGAACCTGAAACTACAGAACATCTGTTTTTATTTCTCTCATTCTGTGAACACATTATGGAAATCCTTCATGATCTTCAGACCATATAATCCATGAACATAGACGCCTTCTCCCCTCAGAATGTCTTATATGGATATGTATCTGCAAATAAAAAAGATGAACAGGGGAGACCGGGTTTGGTTGTAACACTTTTTGCTTCAGCAGCTGTAACTCATCGAATTTTTGAGCTAGAATGCTCAAACTTTTATACAAAGTACACACATTTGTCTTCTACAAATGGCATAAATTCAGACCTCTGCAAGATTATCACAGACCACGTGAGTCGATGTCAAATACACGGTTTTCCTTTGTAACAACCTACCCCACTACCGAGGTAGGTTGTAACACATGCTGGGGTAAGTTGTAACAGGAGAGTGTGCCTGTGTGAATTAGTGTAGGACTACTAGAACAAACTTAAATTATATGTATGCTTCTACTGTACCTGTGTAAAGAACATTAGGTCAAATAAAAACTGTTTATGTGTTTAGGCCTATATCCTTAATCAGAGTCACAATGGTGGCAACTGGATGTTGGTAACTGGAGTGCTGGCTTGTTGGGCCCAGAAACTGTATAAGGCACATTTTTCCCACACTTCCTTTGGCTTTGAGTTGCCAAATGGCTCCATACAGACAACACAACAGTTTTCATTGTGAGGTCTCAGAATCCTCAGTTTTGGCTTTCAACATTTTCTTGGAGGGCTTTCTCTCCTTTGCTTGTCTTTATTCTTTCCTGAGATACTCTTTCTTACATTCTTGCTTCCTCTTCTCTGTTCTTTCTTCATCAATGCTTGCTTCACTGGTCTATCCGTATATCAAACGCCACCCAGACAGGTCTTGGGCTGGGATTTGAACCGGTA